CAGCAAAGCGCTACAGTCATAGTAGTACTATTTATAATTCAGTAAAGATTGTTGGAGCCAATGACTCCTCGTTGGAGTGTGCCAGGCTGGGAAGCCTTTCGAGTTTATCTAGATCCAGAGAGGGGTGAGACTTCTCTTGGGCTGACCTAAGAACCTAAGACCTCACAAGGAAACATGAAAGATTCCATCCCTTTTTGTGATTTTAGGCTTGATGGCAGAAATCTTTTGGAACGGTTTCTACTAACAAAGGAAAAAGAATAAACCTCAAACTGTATTTACAGATAAATATTTTGGCCTATATATCTATTAAGGGTTGGTTTTGGTTTTGGTTTTGGGGGTGGGGTGGGGAAGAAGGAGGTCATTGTTTTTTCTGTCCCAGAAATGCTGTGTGTGGGGGCTCCTTTTAGAAAGTGCCCATGAGAGTCCAAAGCATGGGCTCTGTCCTGACTGACAAGCTAACAGCCTTTGGGGTTCTGAGGTTATATGAGCAAATATAAAAGAAAGAATCCTAAAGGCATAGTAGATTTTTTTCCCCCATGAGCTTAAGTTATAAGAATGGTAATATATTTAGCAAGTATTTTGAAGTACATTACAGCCCAGGCACTAGATTAAAAAGAAGAGGAAAAATTATTTTTCTTTATGGTATTATAGAATAAAGAGTCTAGGATTGTTCTTAAAAGTCCCTGGATGACAGAAATGATGTACACTCCTAGGCTAACGGAAAGATTGGCAATTCTAACCCGCCGTGTGGTGCCACAGAAGAAAGATGTAGTGATCTGGTTCTAAAGAGGTTATAGTCAAGAAAACCCGATGGAGCATTCTAATCTGTAACACATGGGTTCGACTTTAGTTAGGATTGTTCTAACTTTCTTCTTGTTTTTGACTAATCTTGATTTATGTTTATTTCCTGTATTTCTTTTTCGTTGTTACGAATATACAACAAAACCAATTAAACAGGTCCTACGTGTACCGTTTAGTGACACTGATTATGTTCTTCACGTTTGTACAAACATTCTCACCTCCCTTTTCGGAGTTGTTCCCCTCCGTGAACATAAATCAACGGTCCCCTAGAGTCCTGTCTAACCTTTAGAGCTGTTATAGATTTACCACCTATTGATAGGTCCCCCAAAAGAGCATCATTCTCAAAATACATACATTACTAGTTAAACTAAACTATTGCTGGTTTTCAGAAGACTTCAGGGGATATTTTTGGTTCAAGGTTCAAAGTTGATTTCAGGGCAATACTTTTAGAGGAGTTCACCCCAACCTTTATGGCCACACGACGGCCTATAGTCGAGTCTATCAGGATTTGAAATTCTGTTTTGTATTTGACCAAAATTCTTCTATGGAATTTTTAATCAAAATGTTCAGTAGTGATAGATGGGCACCATCAAGTTCGAGTTCATCTGGTCTCATGGCAAAAGAAACAAGTGCCCATGGACACAGTTCGTCATACATTCCATAGCCGCCTTCCACTCCTGACTCTCCTTCTTCCTCTCTTGTTCCAGGTGAACAGAGACCAATTGTGCCTTGGATGGCCGCTTGTAAGCTTTTTCCCTATATTTCTTTCTCTGCTTTTCTCACCTTTTTTTCTTTTCTTTTTAATGCCTGTTTGGATGATACCATCTTTAAGATTTGTATTCTTAAAAATGAGTTTTGAAAAAAAAATGAGTTTTGAATGATATGTAGGTACCCCAGGTGCACATTTCTAAAATGAGCTCAAATTGAACAAAAATTTTCTGGGACAGAAAACAGAATCCCCCTCTCTCAGTAGGTGAATAGTTACATAAATAGTTAGCCATAAATGTAGTTGGAAGTTTGTTATGTTACTTTTTTTTTTTGCCAATTGAAATTATTATTTCCTTGTTGATAGAAACCATTATAAAAGATTCCCGTCCTCAAGTGTAAACTTATTTTAAAGGGAAGAGGAATCTTTGATCTTTTCCTTGTGGGAACAGATCAACCTAAGAGAAGTCTCCTCTTCTTTCTGCCTTAGAAGATGTGCAGATAGAATGTCCCTAGAAGTGGGGAGGGCAAGATTTCATCTCGCATGCTCTGGACATGTTACCTGTAGGGCCAGCCCCTCAACTACATGGATTGACACAGTGACTGAAACAATGGGCTCAAACATAGCAATTGTGAAAATGACCCAGCAACAGCCAGAGTCTCATTCTGTTGTACACAAGGTCACTGTGAGTCAGAACGGACTCAGTGGGACCTAACAGCAGCATGTGAATTTTCAATTTGGAGTGGAAGATGTTATTTATGGGAGGGTGGGGGAGAGGGTATCTTCAAAGGGAAACTAGAATCTTGAGCATATTCCTAAGCTGAATTGACGGGTAAAACACCCAATATAGCTTATTGTGCCATCTTACTAATTCTGCCCTTTGTGTTTTCAGGAGAAAGGCCCTTTAAATGTCCCTTTGAAGGCTGCGGTCGATCATTTACAACATCAAATATCAGAAAAGTGCATATCAGGACACATACAGGAGAAAGACCTTACTATTGCACAGAGCCAGGATGTGGGAGAGCATTTGCCAGTGCAACCAATTATAAAAACCACGTGCGGATACACACAGGTAACAGTCGCAGATTGTTGGCTCCTCTCTTTCCAGGTTCAGTTTGACTCCTGCCTCTTTCTCTAACCATTTCCAGCTAATCTCTTCCCCTTTCCTACCACTTGGCCAGAGTAGAGAAAAATCAAACAAGTTAAACCAAATTCACCTTAATGTTTAGCATCATTTTCTCAACAAACAGCTATTGAGCATCTAGGGCCAGGAACCAGAGCTCCAGAGAGGGACAAGACATCGTCAGGGACAGTATAGCTGGGAAAGAGATGGCAGACCTAAGATGTGGCAGAGAGCCTCTGGTTATCCCAGTGAGCCGTCATGGGAGCAGATGGGGGAGCAGCTATCTCTGTGGAATAGGGAAAGCATTCAGGGAAGACTCTACAGGGGACTTCAGCTTTCAGACTAAGTCCTGAGGTTTGGTAGGTAGTGCCAGCAAGGGATGTCCTCCCAGAGGTTCTATTACATTCATAGGCTCAAAGATCTGAAATAGCTGGCTGCTTTGGAGCAGTCTAGGGCTGGAACAAAGAGTCAATGTAGAAGAATGGTACTAAGTGCAGTTGGATGAGTAGGCAGAGGCCCTGTTGGTTGTGTAAGGGTATTTCATGACCTTGACTCGGTGGAGCCTCTTGTTCAGGGGCAGCAGTGGTCTGGATGTAGAAAGGGGGATGATGGAAGGGTTGGATAGAAGGCATCCATTTTATAAGAAAACTCTAAATATCTTTTTGTTTTATTATTATGTTTAAATCATTTTATTGGGGGCTCTTAACAATCCATCCATCCATCCATCCATTGTGTCAAGCACATTTGTACATTTGTTGCCGTCATCATTCTCAAAACATTTGCTTTCTACTTGAGCTCTTGGCATCACCAACTCATTTTTACCCCTCCCTCCCCGCCCCCCTAATATTACTTTTTATTACTGGCATTAAAAGTGATGATAATTCACAAGTGAATGACCTTTCCCCAGAATGGAAGGTGAGTTGCTGAAGTCAGTGTTTCTCAGGTTGCCTTCCACCACAGACCTCAGGGATCTTCGGAAATATTTTCAGAGACCTGCAACAACTTTTGTCCATGGAAGGGTACTCTAACAAGTTTTAGGTCTGCTGGGGGCAGAGGAAAAGGATTAGGAGGTTTAAAGAAATTTTTTTAGAAAATTGCTCAGTTTGAACAATTAAATACAGAGGAGATGGTCTGAAATGTACCTTCCCTCTCCCCGCTAAATTACAATTTAAAAAATCATTAAGAACGAAAGAAAATCACTCAGGTAACAGAATGGTTAAAGGGAGACCAGTCGAGTCCGTTGGAGTGTCTGGAGGAGTGAGATGGAGAAGGCGGCTGCAAAGGAAAGGCAGTGAAGAGGTATAGACAAGGACTTGGTGACAAGTTAGTCGTGGGAGTAAAGAGTGAGTGATAGGTTAGATGTGACAGTAAATCCATTCCTGCCAAGTCAATTCATAGTGATCCTGTAGAAAAGAATAGAACTGCCCCATAGGGCTGTCAGGGTATAATTTTTATGGACTGACTGGCGAATTGGAACTCCTGATCTTTTGCTTAGCAACAGAGTGTTTAACCAGTGCACCATCAGGTCGCTTTAGAGAGAATACCTCCCAAAATAACAACAACCTTTTGTCGTGAGTGACTCCAACTCAGAGCAACACAACAGGGTAGGATATAACTGCCCCACAGGGTTTCCAAGGCTGTGAATCTTTTTGGAAGCAGACTGCCACATCTTTCTCCCATAGAGCAGCTGGTGGGTTTGAACTGCTGACCTTTCGAGTAGCAGCCAATTGCTTCACCACCATAGCACCAGGATTCCCTCAAAGATGTTCTAAATGCTGGTCTGACCCAATATGTCGGTCTGGGATAGAAGAAAAATATTCGTTGAGTGATCATCGAGTAGATGACACAGTAACTGTCAGGTGGTGAGCAAAGTTTCAACCTGTAAAATGCAGCCCCTTTCTGCAGTGTGAATCAAATGATCCTCTGTAGGTAGGTCAGCAGGCAGCTAAAAGCGCAAACCAAATCCATTCTTGTTTTGATTGCTTTGGTGCCACCTGGTGGTAGCTACCTCCTTTTTATTCTCCCCACCCCATTCCACCCTTCGATGTGGTTAAAAATATTCGTTGAAACTACATTTTCATTCATTTGTTCCAGTTTATATTCAAGCTTAGTTCCCCCTCCTCCCTCAACACGCATGTTACCAATGTCTAGATAGTTCATGATATTAAGTCATTATTGTTCATTTGTTCTACATTCTGCTTTTTAAACACCCATCTTTCAGATCTATAATTTGCAGTGTTTACAGATGAAATAATAGATTGCTATCTGAGGCGGTACCAGAACAATCCAGGTTAAGGGCAAGGAGGAACTGTAGTGAATAAATGAAACAAGATTACTTATGAATTGTTCACTCTTGAAGTTGGTTGATGGGAACAGGAGGGTTTATTACATTATGTATACATACTTCTTTATGTGCTTGAAATTTTCAATGATTAAAGTTCTGAAAAATCTACCTGCTGCTCATATTCTCCGGTTATTTCATGGGGGAAGAAAAACCAAATTTTTACTTCCTTCTCTATTGCTTCATTGTTTTTAGTGGATATTCAGTAGCTTTTAATTGGATGAAAGAAATCAAGTGAAGTTAATATGAAACGTGTGCCCTTTTAGGTATATCATCTTGCCCAATTTTGTCTTATAGGCTTTTAGAAGACCTTTTATTATTATGCTTCTAAAAACATTAGAGTAGGTCTATTAGGTGTAGTAATAATTGCATGAATTATTGCCACTGTTAGCATAATAACATTAATGATAATGCAATTACATAGTCACAGAAACAAGGAATTACAGTTTATCAAAATTTAAACAAGGCAGTATCTCTGTCCTTGTCTCATTTCCTAAAATCCAGGGGAAATTGCTAACGCGGATTCACAGGGACACTACCTTTTGAGCCCGGTCAAAAGCAGAGTTCAGAAGTCTTTTCCTGTGCCCCTCGTTCCTGTAGGAAAAGGATTTGGCAACTGTTTACTGTTACCATCAGAAGGGGGCAGGGGTGGGGTGTAAGGTGGAATGATAATGGCCTTCCTGTATAAAAGTTTATTTTTTAAAAGTTTTTTTCTTGGGTCCCATTCTTTCCCTAGGGGAAAAGCCATATGTCTGCACAGTTCCTGGGTGTGACAAAAGGTTTACAGAATACTCCAGTTTGTACAAACACCATGTTGTTCACACTCACTCCAAGCCGTACAACTGTAACCATTGTGGGAAGACATATAAGCAGATCTCCACACTGGCTATGCACAAACGGACTGCCCACAATGACACCGAGCCCATCGAAGAGGAGCAGGAAGCCTTCTTTGAACCACCCCCAGGTAGGGGTTTGTCCAGTGGCTGCTGTATCTGTGTTTGAGGATCAATAGGTCTGAGCATTTTATCAAATCAGAGTTTACTCTTTTAGAGTGTTGTGCACTGATAGCTTAACCACTATCTTTAAATAATTTTGTTGTCCAAACCCCTCTTTTTTTTTTCACTGTGGTACTAAAACATTTGCTATTTACCTTTGTTCTTAACGGAAGGCCTGTCAGTATGTTTTGCAGTTTTGAGTTGCTCCCCTCCTGAGAATCTTAGCATGTCCTCTTCATCCTGTTACCCTTTGCCACTGATTCTCCATTCGCCTTATCTCCCCTCCTGTTACTTTCTTTCTCTCTCATTCATTTACAGTGAACCCTCGCCACTTCGCGCTTCGACTTCCGCGGCTTCACTCTATCGCGGTTTTTGCATAACAGCACATGCTCTGTCATTACTGCC